ATATATATATAGTGTTATATAAATCTGACTGTATGCAAACGTGACTCTCAATACGAGACTGTTGGAAGTGTGTTCTCTGCTGTAGAACTAACCCTCCTTTTCTGTTTCAGGGCAACCACTTTGACCAGTATGAAGAAGGGCACCTGGAGATAGAGCAGGCATCCCTGGACAAGCCGATCGAATCGGTAAGACACAGACTTACAGCATCAGCAACCACCAGCAGTTAGGCCGTGATCGGATGCTACTTGATGTGAATGCAGTCAAATGGGATAGGTGTGGGCATCTGTCTGGCAGTACAGGGTTAACTGTGTGTGGTAAATTGCATGCTGAGATGCGGTGGGCCTGGGATTTAACCTTTAAATAGTCCTCCTAAAACTATAGGAGACTAAATTTTAGTTCAACACAGTATTTCAGAAGTTACTTAAAATAACACATTCATTCGTAGAGATTTAAGTTCTTATACTTTGCTTTGAAGAATCAGTTTAGTTTGTAAGTGAACCTGATAGAATAGTGTAGCAAAATGTAGTTTGATCCTTTTTTAGTTTCTAGTTTTAGGAAACTGGTGTGGTAAAATGTTAGGATGTCATCTGGCAGGATGGAAGCACAGGTGCACTGCAGTGGAGGTGTAGTGGTCCTTCCCCATGAGCCTGAAACTGCTCCAGAGTTTCTGTAAAGTACCACTTGGAGGTGTGGAGGGCACAGCCATAAGATGGGGAAAACCAAAGTTCTCTTTAGTTTTACCTTCCTAAGCTTTTTAATTTCTCTCTTTGAAAAGCATCCTCTTCAGTCTTAGGCACAGTAGCTTGTTCAGCCTAAACTGGACCTAAGTTTGGCACTTAGCTCGAGCTAAGTTTCATTTGCAGTTTCAATATGAGAGCAAGAGAACTCCTAGTGAATACTTGAGGGTCACTTAGTGGTGTCCTGCTTAAGACTTGATTTATGTTAAGAAAATACCAAGTGCTTCTTTTCCTTGTTAATAATCGAAGTTCTCTGTTTAAGTTTCTTCACGTTAGCCCGCACTTAGAAGAAACTTAGCCTTAGCTAAAGGTGGATAGATGCTTTTCATTCATGTGTAGGTTGGTGTTGTGTGTGTTTGTGTGCGTGTTAGATGTTTACCAAAAAAAAACTTACACAACTTGGGGTGTTCGACGTTTTTCTTCCGCAGCAGTTGGCCCATATTAGCTAAGCAGCCATGATCTGGTTTGTATTGCACGGTCTGCCTTTTTAATTTCTTCTCTAGGGTTTCCTTTCCCCCCTTCTTATTTCTGTTCTTCTGGTCCAGTGAACACTGCATATAGTACCTACTGTCTTAATGTGCTGGCATGATGCTAGATTTAGGCATGGCAGTAATTGATGACGCATGAGATAATGCTGCAGAGATGGGAATTTGTATTCAATGTTCTCCTGAATACTTCAATCTTACCTTGTGATATGGGGATTTTCATTAAAATGCCAAGCTTGTTTCCTTGTGTAAAGATAATGGGAAACACTTGTTGGGAGCCCCCTCGCTGGAATGAGCATTTCAAAGTCATTCAAAGATATCCAGACTGAACTGGTTACCTGATTTTTAACAGTGTTTTCTCAAACAGAGGAGCAGAAGAGGTCCCAGGTTCCATCTCTCTGGTGGTGTGAAGGGTGAGATGCCCACAGCAGTATGTAAAACATGACCCACACATCATCTGCAGGTGTAGTACTGGTTGCAGCTTGATTAATGTTGAACTGCAGCTGAAAAATTAAAGTCAGTGAAGGATTTAATATTTTGTTAATACATATCTCGCCATTCAACTGTCAGGATATTATTAAATTTTACAAGTTTTTGGTAGGTTTTAATACGTATAGTTCAGCCAAAGGGTTAAATGTGAGAACAGTTGGGTGGAGAGGACAAGAAAATGGCTTGCCAGGAGAAAGAGTTAAAACCTTAAATTGTTCTTACTTTAAAATCCATTTTTTTCACTCTTTTGTCTGAAACAAGCATTTCAGGGGAAGATCCCCAGCCTGGGACATGAAGCTCTCAGAAGGAGCTGCAGAACTGAGTAAATATATGTTCTACCAGCTGTTGGAGCACACTTGTGCTGGTTTTGTATGCTAGTACCACAACTGAAAAGCTGTGACTGCTGCACAGGGAGGTTTTTGGTCTCATGAACAGTTCCGGTGTCAAACTGGAGGCAGAGACAACCTGGTCACTTTTCAGGTTAATCTTTATGTGGTCTTCACTAAATACATTTTTGATTCTGTAGCTGGCAACACGAAACGACTTTGTCAAGTTTCTTGACACTGTGAAAGTGATGTTGCTTCCACACTGTTCATGACCAATGTGATTTTAGAACGGGCAAATGTCACATGTTAGCAGAAGGGGCTTCATGTCAGAGCTCAGAGGTGCTCCTCTCCTGCAAGTTTTTACCAGGAAAGCAGTGTTCATGCTGCTTTTCCTGCCTTGTATTTTCCGTTCTTTGCTCACACCCAAGTGGGTAACATCCTCGAACTGCAAAGGAGAGGAAGGGAGTAAGGGCAGGTCTGTAATTTGCAAATACCACACATCTAAATATTTGCAATATTAACAAATTGGTTGTTTTATAATCCTTACCCAGTTCTCTGTCAGCAATTCAGCTGACCTTTAAAAAGGAATCTACTCCGAGGAATGAGTAAGAGCCTGTGCTTAGCATTATGGAAATAGTTTGGATGACAAATGTCTTTGTGTGAGGAAGGGTGTTTATAACAATGGCAGATGAAAGCGCTTCCAGTTAAAAGTTTAAAGTTTGGTTATCCTGCAGGCTGAGGAGTGGATTAAGCATATTCTAAATGCAGCTTCTCACAGCTTAGTCACATGGAAATGCTTTCAAGCCTAAAGGTAGCTTGCATCTGGAAATCCCGGGGGCAGAGGGTGTCACTCGGAGCCTACATTTGACAATCATCACTGACGTGAGATCCATCTCTGCAGCATTATCTGTTGAGAGGTGCTGACTGTACTGCTACAGCATGCAACTCAAAGGTGGCTGGAAAAATAGGTTTGGGAGTCTACAGATCATTACAATGTTGAAACGTGTCCTCAATTAGTGTTCTGGTGGTGGTGTTCCTGTGGAAATCCCGCTCTGGACAGCTTGTTTAGGCCAAAGATGGCTGGACTGAAACATGTGATAGAACCAAAGTACACTTACGGAAAACAGAGCTGACGGGAGGTAGTGGATGTGTGTAGCCCAAACCAGAAGCCAGCTATTTGCCAGTACTAAATTGAAGAAAATATTTCCTATCGATGGAGTCTTCATAGCTGCAAATGCTGATATTTATTTCCCCCACCCACTTTTCCCCCAGTAACCATTTTTTTGTTCTGGTTTGAAGATGCTGCACTCGCACAGGCTGTTCACATCAGTGGAAGCACTGGTGGCCTTGGCACATCAGAGCACTTAACTCTTTAAATTCAAGAGGATGCATGCATCAGTTCTGAAGTATTTGAAGTGCACTGAGCTCAGGTGCCCAAGTGGGAAGTCACAAACTATTGCAGCTTTAATGGAAACCAGATTTTCTTCACGTTAATTCCTGATTTCTACTTGCTTATTGAACCTTGTTGCTGTGAGTTCCAGGTTCTCTCTGTCCAAGCAGTACAACTCAAGTAGGAGACAGCAGCTCACCCTTAGAGCAGCCCTGTCCCCATGCAGGCAGTGCGCAGTGGCAGGGGGCTGTCACCAGTGCAGGTTGGAGGCCGGACTTCAAATCACCCACTTACTCTGGAGCTTGTTAGTTTGTTCTTGTCATAACTAACAAATGTCCTTTCCCCCTCTTTCTAATCCTGCTCAGTTACACAGGGAGGACCTTGAGCTGCCCGAGGTTTCAGGCTGTAGTTGTTTGGCGCTCACAGGCTGTTGTAGACGACTGTATGAGCTGAAGCTGGGTTTGTTGCACTGTATATCTGTACAGATCTGTGGACTCCACTAGTTCCAAAGTGTCATTTGATAAGGCTGCTGATTTGACATTTAGCAGTAGCCATATGTGGACAGCGCTATAAATAATGTGCTTCTTGAAGCTGAATGGTGTAGCATTACTATTTGGCTTTTCTCTCTAGTCTTCATTGTGTCATCTGTAGTGAGCTATAGGTTTTGTTTTGGGAATCTTTTCAACCTCTTGTTTGCATGGGTTCACCCAGTAGCATCTGATCCTTGCTTATAGATTCCTCAATACACAGTCAGCACAGCTTACAACCCACTCAAGAGATGCATGGCCCTGCGGTGCTGAGATGAACAATGTGAACACAACGTGTGGGGTGATGTGGGGATCCCATGAAAAACCTGGATTAGGCAAAACTGGTGTTTTGGTTTATCTGTAACACAGCTCAATCCACTGACTGTGGGTTATATCCCATGTACAACATCAAAACCTTCCAGTTCTTGCACACATCTTTTCATTGTAGGCATTTGGTTTTCTTTGTCAGAGAGCTGGGCTGGTTCAGCCTGGAGAAGAGAAGACTCCTGAAGGGGACACCTTAGAGCAGCTCAAGTGCCTAAAAGGGGCTCCAGGAAACCTGGAGAGGGGCTTTGGACAAGGGCCTGTAGGGACAGGACAAGGGGAATGGCTTGAACTTGCCAAAGGGGAGATTGAGATGAGCTCTGAGGCAGAAGCTCTTCCCTGGGAGGGTGCTGAGGCACTGGCACAGGGTGCCCAGAGAAGCTGTGACTGCCCCATCCCTGACAGTGTTCAAGGCCAGGTTTGGTGAAGTCAAGACCTTTACATTTCCTCCAGGCTTTTGGGAAAGTTACACTTCACCTGTAATGCAGAGTTCTCCATCAAGAGCCACTCTGGTGTTCCCTGCACATCCCGCAGTCCAGTGTGCAGTCTGCCTCTGTGACTGGATGCCCAGGCAGATAGTGCTGCCCTTGTGAGTGCTTTGGATGGTAAATGGGAGCTCACCTGCTCACTCAGACACCTACTGGGAGACTTATTTTGGCTGCATCAGTAATTTTGATGATGCTGTAGCACCAGGAGCTCCAAAACAACAGTGTTAAGGAAGAGAGGAGCCTGACACTAGCCTGGGAAACGAGGGATTTCCTTGTGGGGCTGTTGGCGTCTTTGTAGATTGCTACAACTCTGCCCATAAACAAATTGCTATAAAATGGGGATAGTTTAGTCAAAAAGAGTGACAGTTCTTGACATGCACAGGAAATTTGGTGCAAAAAAAGACCTTTCCATGTGAAAGAGAGAACAATTTACAGAACGTTCACTTAGTAAAGTGGCACTTGCTGCCTTTTGCCTTGTGGCTTGGCTCTCAACCTGGGAGCCCAGCAAGTGTGGCCTTCCATCACTGTTTTTAGGGCAGCATTTATGCTGCAGAGCAGTCTTGAGGCTCTGCCTTGGTGCGTGTTCTGTGGAGGAGTTTGGAGTGGAGGAAGAAGGTTGAACACAGCTAAAAATGAGCATAGTAATGACTAGGTCCCAACTTGGATGTTAATATTAAACTCTTGGGGCTGTTCTTATTATTCAGTGAACCTGAAGATGCTCCATTTCAATCCAGTCCTATTTCAAATTAGGAAGTTCCCTGAATTTAGGAAAATTCACTGCTTAAACAAACAAATGGAATCGATTGGGGAGGGGAGGAAAAAGCCCCCTTCCTGGGAACTGAGCCAGGATCATCAGGTGCAGTTCCAATTCCTGTCAAGCAACTTGTGGCCATCCTCTTGAGTGGGTTTGTAAAAGTGGTGCTAATGTGTATAACCCTTCTAAATTTTCCTTTTTTTTTTTTTTTTCCCCCCCTCCTTTAACATTTGTTTTCCCCTTCACTGTGTCAGTCACAACACGCCGCTCTTGAATCTCCCAGCTGGTCTTGACTTGTTGAGTTTCTTTTATGCTTTTCACTCTTCTTTAATAAATACATTACTTGCAAGCAGTGAATTGAAAACAAAGCAAAAGAAAAAAAACCTACCATTAGTGATTGGACAGTTTCTTACTTTGTGTTACATTTAACTGTTCTTTTGACAGCCCAGTTTTTAAAGCCAGGTTCGTATGGAAATGCTTTCACTCCACTTGCACTGCTTTTGGAAATAGCATACTGCTTCATCTGTCTTTATTTTAGTGCATTCATAACACAACACAGTCAGCACAATGTCTCATCTCCACTTAGCAAAAGATTGCAAAGTCCTCCTTGGCCTAGTTTTTGGTTTTCCTTGGGGAAAATGCAGCCATTTTTGTCAGCACCAGCTTTCCAAACCGGAGTCCATAACCCTGTGTCAGGCAGAGCTGACTAAGGGAAGCACAATCAGTGTCACCCACAACCCCTTCAGCCTCAGCCCCTTTGACTGATGCACCCTGCAGCCGCTGTGCTGCAGCACATCTGCTCCCAGGTAAGTTTCCCTCCACTTCCAAACAGCTCCATGGTGTTTGTGGTTGGAATCCATATTTGTTCCTTTTCCCTTTTTTGAGTATACTGATTTGAGCTTTTAGATCCAGACATTTCCTTACTTCTCTTAATTTTTCTTCCCATGCAGCCCTAGCTGTGTCCTGGGGGAGAGCTAGTAGTGTGGGAGAGATGGATGCTGGTGCCTTGACAAACAGTGAGGCACAATGTCTTGCTTTCCTGGCATAGCATTAAACAAAATGAAATTCATACTTGATGCAATCTTTCTGAGGCAAAATGTATCCGTGCAGCCAATATCTTTGGGAAGATTGTGTCGTCAAGCTGATGGGCTAAAGTTCTTCCATGTGGAGTGAGTGCAAACCCCACTGCTGTTCCATTGCTGTGGGCAACTGGGTTATTTCATTAAAGACACCCACAACATCTAATCTATTAATTCATTTGATTTAAGATCCCATGTCCCACTCAATGTGATGGATTCACAGCCTGCTAGAACTCAGGATATTTGGGGGTATCTTGAGTTGTGGTTCCTTTGGACACTTAATAACCAACAAATCTGTATCTGATTTTTTTGTCATGAGAGGGTGAACACAGTCCCAACCCAGAGTCCTTCTTTGAGGAGCTGACAGTTGGTCACTGCTGCTAAACTGATGGCTAAGGGACAAGCTGTCAGCTTTGGGTGGTGACAAGGGTGCTGGTAGCACTTGTGTCCTTTCTTTGAGGGAGGAAACGTCACCCAACCCCACATCAGTTCCAGTGGGAGCCCTGCTCAGCCCCGGTTCAAAAGCTGACACTGAATTGCTGCATCAGGACTTTCCACTTAGTCCAAAATAGCTGCTTTTTTAATTTTTTTTTTTGTTTTTTTTTAGGAAGATGAGACATTATGCTTATTGTTTCCCCTACATGCACTAATGGTTCCTTGCTGTTAACTTATTGCTAGGCCTGTTTCATTCTAACATCTTAGTATTTTTGTTAGTTTACATGTGAAATGCATCACCCAGTCTGTGCTTGAGCTCATTTTATTTAATGGATTTTATTTTCTTTTTTTTGTTTTACTAACCTCACTGTTTTTTCAGTTTAATATTGGCTGCATGCTAGTTTATATATATATATACATATATAAAAAAACCCAATCAAGTCTAGCCTGGATTTTGCTCTGATTGTGTTTTGGTTTCTAGTGGTGGGGCAGTCTTGCACTTACAACTTACTCAGTATTCTCAAAGCCTGACACACAAACAAAATGACTAAACACATTGTAGATTTTCTTTACAAAAGAAAACATAAATCTTTAAGTGGTGCTGTCTAGGTGATGGAGATGATTGTATAAATAGCTGGATTTTCTGCTTTTTCCTGTCAATTTTTATTGGTACACTTGATTTTCTCCCACATTGCTTTTTTATTTCAGTTGATTTTTTTTTTCCTTTATGTTAAACGTGATGCACAAAAGTTGCCCAGCACACCATCAGAAAGTGACCCTCCCAACCCCAGCCCCTGGAACAATTCTAGCCAGCAGTTTTTGACATTTGTCTTTCCCTTTTCTTGGGCATTTAGTGCCTTTTCAGTAGCATTTTTTTGCATGCATATATATGTAGAAAAAATCTCTTGCTCATCACATGTTTAAATGTCAGCGGGAAGGGAAGAATATGTTATTGGAATATTTTTGGTTTGTTTTCTCTGTTCTGTCTGTCAGGATAATATTGGACACCGCTTACTCCAGAAACATGGCTGGAAGCTGGGCCAGGGATTGGGGAAGTCGCTGCAGGGTAAGTCCAGTAGCTTGTGTCTGAAACGTTCAACACCAGCTCCAGTCTTTAACAAAATGATTTCTGCTTTTTGTTCCTAGATTAGAGGGGGGTTATTTTCCCCCTTTCCATTATTAATATATCCAAACAAATGCACTGTTGAGTCTCATATTTAGCAGTTTGCAAGTGGAAGCTGCTGCCTCACTTATTGGCACAGGTTAGACATGATGTGTGTGTCGTGTACGTGTGAGAATCACCGTGTTTGGCCTTCTTGGAGGGAGGTGAATTAACTGCCTGCTCACTAACAGGTAGTGATGCAGCTCCTAAAACTGTAATGATACTCTGCTGGCTGGATGCTTTGACATTAAAGAATTAAAAATACAATCTAGGTACAGTGGCCTCTGTGCATGTTTCACGTTGGTGTCAGAAGCCATTGGAAGGTGAGTGAAAGGGCCCACTGAAGACTGAAGGTGGTGGCAGAGCTCTCCTGGATGGGAGAGGCTCATTCCTAGTTTCTTCTTCAGAGGCTTTCACGGGTTTGACTTATTTCTGTCGGGGATTTAGGAAATCTCCTTGAGATGCCGTAGTGCTGGTTGAACCACTGCACCAAGTCCTCCTGCCTTGAGCCTCAAGTCTTCCCATGCCACTAAATCCCAGGATTTAATTTGAGCCAGTGCTGCCCACAGCTCCTGTGGGTGGCTTCAACCATTCCCCTGGCCAGCAGCTCCTGCTCTGCAGCGGTCCTAGCCAGGATGGAAGCATGCAACCATGTTGTGTTGGGGAAAAACTGATAATAGTACTTCCTATCAGTTGCTCCTTTGGAACTGCCAGCATATAGAGCCTGTGATGCTGTGAGTAAGGTGCTCAGCACTTACACAGGCTCAAAGCTCTGCCCAGGCAGTTTATGTAGAAACCTCTTGCAGTGGTTAAAACTCAAGAGCACCCCAAGTTCCTCAGAGTAACTTACTCGTGTTCCCATACCCATAGTCTGAAGACCTGGGAGCTCGTAATTGGACTTCCATGCCCCTACAGTGAGCCCATTAGAGATAAGTATTTCTGTGCTGTGGAGGCCTGTTGAGAGGTAACAAGTCCTCTGGACTCTGGGAATGCTGATTAATCCCTTGGACTAAGGCACTCTAACTCCTCAGACAGGACTGCCTTGGTGGTTAATGCTTCCTGCTTCCTCTAACACGGTTTCATGTGAAATCCTCTGGTTAATGCATGGCACTCTTGCAGTCCTCTCCTGTCCTGTGCTGGTGCCAAAGCTCAGGATGTGGTCATAGCTGTCACCTCTTGGGCTTCTGCTTTGGCATGGCATTCACTGGATGTGTAATTTGGTCTGTTTTCTCTTTTGGGTGCCCTGTATTGCTCTGTACATCACCAATGTGGAAACACGGAGACTTTGAAAGAAGCTCAAGCCTTCTCCCAGCCCCAGATGGACCCAGAAGCACAGCCCTGTATTGCTCTGTACATCACCAATGTGGAAACACGGAGACTTTGAAAGAAGCTCAAGCCTTCTCCCAGCCCCAGATGGACCCAGAAGCACAGCCCTGCAGGGCCCTGTGCTGTGTGGTGTGGCAGGCGCAACGTGACAGAGCAAATAACCCATGACACTGCAGTCTGGAGTTTGGGGTGGCATCACTGTGTCCTGGGGACGAGAGCCAGGGCTGCCCGTGGGCTTAGTCAGGCATTTGCATTTGGTACTTGTCCAGATTTAGATCTTCCCACTGTGCATTTTTGTACCATGTCTCTCATGTATTACTGACATGCTGGTGACTTGAACTGCCTGGAAGCTCCAGGCAAATCGTGGGTATGGGCTGTGAGGGTTTTTCTGCACTTCCTGCATCACAATAGAAATGCAGGAGTCAAAAGAGCCTTTCTAGTTTAACCCATCCAACAGAGAAACAGCCTCGCTGGCAGAGGATGTGGAGGAGTTCTGCTCCGCATAAAGCTATCAAGTTAGTTATGAACAGCTAGAGCCTGTGGCACTAATGGTGATCATGTTGGGAATGTTTAATTCATTATCCAGTGACCTTTTGAAAGGACTCTTAGATCATCCTAAAATCTGAATACAAACTACCAGGAAGGAAACATTTGCATCCAATTTTAATCTTATTCTAGGAGTTTTGAAGAGTCGAAATTACTTGATGTGCTCTGAGAATGGAAGAGCAAAGTAAGAAAGTTCTTCCCCTCTTCCACGCCCCCTTCTTGCTCAGGAAAGATGAGGAGAGCTTTCTAAAGAGCTGTAAGTAGAGCAAATGAGGAGTGTCTCGGTTGTTAACTCCCTTTGTGCTCTGCTTGAGCCTAAAATGTTCAAGAGCTTCTGGTTTAGACATGCAGCAGAAGTAGAACCGCTTCAGATAGTCTTTAGCTGTGGATATGGGATCTGACCTCCTGCAGGAGGCCCTTGCAAAAACCCTCAGAAACCTAGATTTTGGGTTGCATGCATGGAATTGATGCTGCAGTCCTCTTTGTTCCGTGCAGTTGGCTTTAATTTTAAAGGAAGTTGATGAGTTCAGGGTGCTTGTTTTGTGCTGTAGCTTTTCATTCTAGATGTTCATCTGAACTGGGGCTCCCTCTTCAGTTTTGGTGACTCTCAAAGTTACTTTACATTATTCTTGCTGGTCATAAATGCTTATTTCTTCTAGTAAGGCCATCATGTTGTTCAAGAAGAACTTCACACTCCAGGACTGCGCTGTTGTGGCTTCCTTCGTGTTAACTGCCCACTGTGGGTGTAATCCAGTGGTGAGAGTGCTGAACTTTCTTTGGAGCTGGCATAGCCTCAAATTCACACTTGCTAATTGCTGGTGGTAAAAATCTGCTGTTGTGGTGCCAAAGATACACCGCGGGTTGGCTCCTTCTCTGCAGAACCACAGAAGCAGAGTCATTTGGAAGCTGCCTTGTGCTGTAACTCCTGTTTTAAGCAATCATAGCTGGTGGAAGAGCTGAGCCACTTGGAGAAGGAAGCCCATAATCTGTGTCTGTAATGACACAGCTGTACTCTAACCATAACACATGGGCATCTTCTGCTTTGGTTTTGATATGTATTGAGTGGAGGATCAGATAGGGATAGTGCTGTTTGTCTGACAGTGCAAGGGCTAGAACAGTGGGTCAGAGCAGCTCATCGTGAGTTCAGCAGAGTCCTTCCTCTGCTCATCTCTTCTCCTGATGGTTTTCACATTTTTTTTCCCCACAAACAACTTGTGGTATATTTGGAGCCAATGCTTCAGCTTGCTCACAGCCAGTGAGTATGAAAGAGCAGAAGAGGGGGTGGCCAGTTGACAGGGATCTCTTGTAATCTGGAAAGTATGGCTTGAGGAACTGCTTTTCGATAGAGACCGAGGGATGGTTGTGCTCTACCAAATGAGAAGAGGGTGGTTGTAGGGAGGAACACCTCAAAGTGGGAATCTAGAATTCTGTGGTCTACTGAAAAAAGAACCCCAGCAAAAGATGTGGTTAAACCCACTTTTTTCTAGACTAGCCTTTTTAAAGTTCTCTCTTAAGGAAACGTGCAACCTTGAAGCTTGAAACACTGCTTCAGCCCCATCCAGAAAGCAGTTACGTTCAGTTTCCCTATACCACAAGCTGTGTGTAGTGTGTGATTAATTTGATAGGTTAAAAGCACTGATTTAGTTCATGTTCCCACAGTGTTCCCAAGGCTGGGATTATCCTGGTCTTTTGTGGTAGCTCTGAAAGGTGAATCAGAACGTAGTATCTTGCTGTGGCAACAGAAGACATGGTTTTGTCACAGCATAGCTACTCATTTATGTTGTTGAACCAAGTAGTTTAGATAATACAGGGTTTAGTGTAGAACTGGAATTGAGCCTTGGAACTTCATGGGTAAAGTTGCTCCTCAGCTGTCTGGAGGGGACTAAGGCTGTTGTTGTTCCTGTTGACCAAGGTGTGCTGCCAGCTCATGGTGTAAGTGGGACTGGGGACACAAAGCAGCGGTTACAGGGGTGTGGAACAGAACCTTGGGTTTATTTTATCCTTCCATGGGCATAGAAATGCTCTAACAAAGTACATCAGGTCAGGTCTATCAGATTTGATAGAAAATGCTTGACTTCAGTTCCTCCATCTAAGTATATTTTTTATTGTGGCTTTTCAGTTAGAAAAGTACAAGTGGGTTTCTGCTCTGCCTTTCGAATCCTGTGGTGATAAATGGAGTTATCGCTGCCCCCCTTCCCAAAACGGCGCGGTTCTCACTTGGCACATCCTTCACTAAATCTGTTCAGACAAGCTCTTGTTTTCCTGACACATGAAGGATGAGGAGAGGGAAAGGACAGAACTGTCTGAAGGAAGCGCTGGAACATGTGCAGAGAGAGCCTGTGGCGAAGGCAGGAAAACAGCGCTTCCCTGGTGGCCTCTGTGAGAGCTGCTGTGGGAGCTCCAGCCCAGTGGGAGTCCCTGTTCCAAGGCTGTGTCAGGGGCCGTGGGTGATCCAGGCTGTGTTTCCTGGATGCCAGGTTTCTTGGATGTGTGGGGAGCAGTAAGTGGAGCTTTGAGCACTCCAACAACTGAGATAGGCACAAATGCGATCGCTTGGCAGCTGCGGCTCAGGGCTTGAATTCCAGAGGGCTGGAATCCTGGCTCTGTCACCAGTTCACCAAATGGCTCGCAGCTAATATATTAATATATTTTTCCATCTGTGGAAGTGTCTGATGTCACAAAAGCAGACAGAGTAGATGTTTGTCAGGCCTCGAGAACATGGAACAATGAGCATCTGAGAGAAACGCCATGAGGAGATGAGGAATGTCACAGTGCCTTCTGGGTTTTGAAGCTTTGTGATAAATACAAGAAAATGTGAAGAAAAGGATAAAAATGTTTAACAGTGCCTTTATTCATTACATGTGGGTGATTTGGCAGCTTTACCCAGGACATAGATCACACAATCTGATCTTCTTGTATCTTAACGTGTCCTCACAGGAGCCTGAGTTCTGGTGTACACTTAATTTTTCCACACTTGTGTTTGCAATATAAATCATTGCAATAGTTTTAAGCCCAATGTTTTCATGTGAAGT